CAGTTCATTTGTAGGGCTGCGCGAGTATGGACCAAAAGTATGTGAGTAAATCTCACTGTAAACTATTTAATCATCACCAAATTCGGTGATATTATGACCGATCATAACTCAACTTTATGCACACACATACATTTTGCATGGTTTAAGAAACGGCTCTGCACGGAGGAGCCGCGGCGGAGCCCGGGCGGTGCTGCAGCTCCTGATCGGAGCAGAGACACACGTTCACTAAGCCGAAAAACTATATCCGGTCACAGAGATCTGCTATTTTAAAGTAAATACTTATCGAACCTTAAATATAGTCTATATTAAGAACGAAAATGTTTAATGTATATATCATTTTTTGTACAAATGTGCGAGGGAGATGACGTCAGAGCATCGTCCTATGTGCCGGGGCTGAGCCCCGGACAGCCTCGGCCCAATTTAACCGCTGACTGTAACTATGTACGTATGACTAATAAAAGCCTTGAACCTTGAACATATACATTTAAGGTGCAGACATTAAGAACCCATGTCGTTTTTTTCCAAGAGTAGACGTGATATTACTTCGCCGTTGTTAACATGGGGACGTTCTCTTTATACGTCTACGGCGCAGTCACGCAGAGCTACGTTAATGCGGAACTAGGCATGTTTAAATCTAAACGTGGTTGGAAAAACGACAGATGGAGTTGCACAGTTCTATAGATTAATAAAGAACAGTGTAGCAGCGCAGCAGTCTGTGTCACCACACAAAGACACAGCAGTTCAGCCAGTAGCCAGACCCAGCTGCTAGCACAGGCAGACAGTGGTGCAGGAATGAGTCTTAAAATACGGAAATGAGTTTGCCTTTTTGCATTTCAATTCCCTTGTCTCAAAGTCTGAAATAAGGTCTTTGGTTAACACAAGAGATTAGAATTGTGTATTCTACAACATCAAATATGTCAGTTAATAGCCCACTGGTGGATTTTGCTAACAAGTGTCTAAATAAGACGACTAAACGTCATCACTCCTAGCATTTGCCGCCTTTAGCTTAGCGGTGGTGACGTGAAGTCATGTGGCCGTGCTGTAGTTTCTTTATAGCCCAACATTAGCTGCCTTTAGCTTAGCGGTGGAGAAGCAGCCATAGTCCCACCTACTTGACTCTGATTGCTCGATCGTTTCTCCAGTGGCTGTGAGGTTTTGTGATAAAGCTGCCAAATCCTTAAGGTCTCTCCCCGCTCATATTTGGAAGCTTTTCTGTGAAATGTGTTGACCTCTAATTAAAATCTGAATTCTGGTGTGTTTTCTGACAGTCGGAGTCTCTGGAGGATCCTTTCCCCTCGGATATCCACTTCCCTCTCTCTCTGCCTCTGACCTCAGACCCAGCAGTGGAAGAGGAAGAGGAGGAGGAGCCCGGGAGGAGCCTGCCTGAGATCTGGTGTGACAAGGTGGCAGTTTCCTGTGACCACAACTACACAGCAGAGGACTCCGCTCGGCAGAAAAAGCGCATTGAGCAGCTGGAGGAGCAGCTGGGGAGTCTGAGGAAGAAGCTGAAGACGACTCAGCAGAAATGCCGACGACAGGAGAGACAGTTGAAGATGCTGAAGGCAGCGTGCGAGACGCCGAGGACCGGCCGCCAGCCGCCTGCAACCTTCCGAGAGGGATACGTGATTCTACCCAAACACATCTACCACACACTCAAAGGCATCAAGTAACCACGAACTAATGAAAAGGAGATGTGGTCAAAATGAGAGGCAGATCAAACTGTCAGCAGCAGGAGACAGTCGCAGATCTTCCTAGCCAGCAGCGCAGCCCTGAGTCCCGACAGGAAGGGCTCCGTAAGAATGCAGGAAGCAGGAAACTCTGAATTGGTTGGTACAACAACTACTTACATATTCTTCGTGTTAAGGCTGCACTGAAATTGCATTAACTCTTGTGTTGGCTTACTTTTTAATTGTTGTCCTCCCGGTTTGACTGTTTCCATATAGCGTATAAATAATCACCCAAATCTGTTCCACCTTTTAAGGCAACTTCATATCTACTTATTATGTTTTACTCTTCTTTTTTAAATGTATGTTCAATACACCTAATTTACACACAATTAAACCTAAAACCGAATTTGAATAAACTTGGATTCTTCAAGAAATAGTCCACCATGTTACTCCCCCTGAAAAAAACAAGAATTGTGACTTTCATTTCTATCCTATTTATGTTTTTTTGAGGAATTCCTCCTAAAAAGGAGTTCAACAAACGGTTCATTTGTATTACTTTTCTATGATTTACTTCTTTCTATGTTTTATTTTTTCCTCACATAAAAACAATACAGAAACATTGTGTGTCTGTCTATGTTCCTGTGAAAGTTGTTTATCAAAAATATTTTAGATAAGAAGGGTATCGTGATTTCAAATTGGAAAGAGGAAGCTAACCACGAGACGCTCTGGAAGAATAATGGATGTGTTTGAAGTCCAAACTCAGCATCATATCTGGAGTTTCAAAGTCAACAGAAGGATGACCTTATGGTCGATCTTCATCCAAAGATCAGGAACAAATGAACTTTAAGCATGTGTGTGCTGGGTGGGGTTTAAACTTTCTCCTCATCTTCTTTGTTTTTTCATTGTTAATTCTTCTATAGGTTTTACCGGTCCAAATATCACATTCATTCCTTTAGACCAGTGGTTCCCAACCTTTTTGTCTGGTGTCCCCCTTGAGCTGGTTTCAGTTCTATAAGAACCCCCTCAATCATCTTTGATGATTCGCCTACATTTTGTCTTGTATTAAACCCTTTGTAATTGTATTTAACCCAATTTTTGTACCGACACTCCGGGCGTGTTTGGTGCTCTGCTGCTGCTGCAGGTGGGATGGTTTCCAATATGCCAGGACTTCACCGCTAAAAGAACACTGTGGCTTTGTTGGATCATCAGATGAACATGTGACTCCATGAGAGATGTATTCCTCACTGAACTGCCGGTGTTTGGAGGGCCAAGACAATTTTATTTCACTAGGCTCTCCTAACCCCGGTTCTGGATGGAGGATTGAGGTTTGTGCAGAAAGCAGAACAGTGTGTATAATATATATCAATCAATAATATTTAACGAGCTTAAATAACACTCTTTATTTGTAGGCTTTAGTAGATGTCTACAAACAAAGAGCAGATATTTCAATCTGTTGTACAGTGTGTAGCTGTGTGTATATCCAGTCTCTGATTGCTTTACGTTATCATGAAAGTGCATATATATATATATATATTATTTAGCAAGTCTACAGGATATTCCATATTTAAACCCGTTCATTTCATGTTATGACAAATATTTCCCCCTCAGTCAAACCATCTGGAGCCTGTTATTGTCTCATTATACCGCACTGTGAATGAATTAAAAGTAAATATATAAGTGGTCATGAACACATCTGTCCATCAGACAGAGGGCTGCTGTGCCTCCTGTCATCATTAATGGACGTCTCTTTAAAATGACGGCTCAGAGGAGAGGAGTTCTCATTTCTCTAACCGCCTGCTGCTTCCCCTCCTCTCTCCTCGGTTCCCCTCCTCGACTCCTCCGCTCGCATCTCCTGTGGGCGGGACTAAGTCTCGAGGAGAGTAGTCGAGGGGAAAATAAAAAATCAGAATCAAGTTTATTGCCAGGTACATTTACACATACTGTTGACTGGAGGTGAAGCTGTTGGTGTACAGGGAGAAGAGCAGGGGGGAAAGAACGCAGGCTTGAGGGGAACCAGTGCTGATGGTCCGGGGGTCAGAGAAGTGTTTCCCCAGCCTCACTGGGAGAGCTTGTCCTGCAACAGAGCCGGGACGATCGTATTAAAGGCAGAGCTGAAGTCCACCAACAGGATCCTGGCGTAGGTTCTTGCTGTGTCCAGGTGCTGGAGGAGGAAGTGAAGGGCCATGTTGACAGCATCATCTACAGACCTGTTGGCTCTGTAAGCGAACTGCAGGGGGTCCAGTAGGGGGTCTGTGATGGATTTTATGTGGGACAGGACAAGGCGCTCAAAGGACTTCATAACCACAGAGGTCAGGGCGACGGGTCTGTAGTCATTTAATCCTGTGGTCCTTGTTTTATTCGGGACCAGGATAATGGTGGAAAATGTGTTTGTTTTGACAGCTTCCTTTGGGGATTGCATACATTTTTTAATGTGTATTTTTCGGTGTATTTACTGTCAATTGTTCAACATTGTTTATTTTTTGGTGAAAATGGTCTTGTCTTTTACTCTGTCCTTTCACAGTTGGTTCAATCTGCACTAACCAAGAAACCAGGTGGTGATCGTATTATCAAAGAATACAACTGGGTGAAAGGTCTGACTGACTCCACTCGGCGAAAGATGGTTAACATCCTCGCTGCTAAGATTACTGAAACTCATGGGTAATTATTTTATTTTGCAAAATTGAAGATCTCATCCATTGTACGGAAGCTACCTCAAATGAAGAGGACACGAACGATGACACGCTTGCCTCTGGTCAACACACTCTCACTCCATAATCGTCCAGGAGCGACGTTTGGTCAGGGTCCCGTGGCGTGCAGTTGTGACGCTCCTAGGCTCCTTCAGCTTCATAAAGGGACGCAAATAGCTTTCAACTGATTGCAATGTATTCCCATCTGCGGCTGGATTTGACGCTCATGGAAGCACGGCATTCATTTGTGTCGGCTGCCCTTAAAGGCAATGTGAGCGTCCATTCCCATTGGATAACGGAGAATTGTACACCAGGAAGTAAATATTCCCCTTACTGTCGATTGATTTGACAGTGATATCTGCACTACTCATCGACTAAAAAACACCAGATTATCCCTGTTAATTACACAACATTGATAGGTTTAAATTGTGTGCAATGCTTTTGTATTTTTCCCATTCGATTCGGAGAAACAAATATTTTTTCGGAGTAAAGGATGGCAGAAGACACTACACTACCCAGAATCCCCAGCTATCGTTTAGGACTACACCTTGTGCTCTGTTTGACAAACCCCGTGATTAGTTCTCAAGCTCTGTGATTGGTTGACCTCCAACTGCATTCCATATGAAAAAAACGTTTCGTAAAAGATAAAATCATACTTTATTCAGCAGTGCTTGCTTTACTCTTTGAAAGTCATCACATGAATGCATTGTAATAAATGGTTCGGCTGCATTAAATATATTACACATCTGTCGTAGTTCTTTATTTTTATTTATCTATAGAGATCAGGCTCAGAATAGACCGGAAACTATTCTTTTACCGTTCAGTTTGAATTTCACAATAAAGTTAGTAGTAATATTTTT